ACACACACACACACACACACACACACACACACACACACACACACACAGAGAGAGAGAGAGAGAGAGAGAGAGAGAGAGAGAGAGAGTTTTCAAATAAATTGGGGACAATTTTTTTGGTGCAGTGACCCAGCCTGGACAACATTTGTCGTCTAAAATTGACGTCCAAAGGTTGGGGAATAATTCCACTGTCTTCAGACCTTCCACTTCAAAAAAAAAAAACCTTAATTTCATAATTCTAGTGGGGTTGAGGCTTATTTGAACTCCCCACATTCTAGAGATCATTACTTGATTAATTTTTGAGAGTTTATGCCTAGTTACGTATTAGTCACTCTCAGCTCTGTTTGTGTGGACTCACAGAGGGCTGCAGTTCCGTGGAGATCCGCAGTGGTCTTTGTGAGCACTAGTGAGTCTTACAAACAGCCCTTGGGTACTGCTTAAGCTCTCAGAGATACTGTGAACAGGACTAGCCCTTTCCTGGGGACTCACTTCTCAGCAGTCTGAAGGATGGCTTGTGTTGTTCTTTACCTGCGTTGCGGGATAATGTCCTAGTGTGCTGAGTACACTCCATGCAAACTTGTTTAACCCTAACCTCATAGACAGTAGACATCTATTAGTAAGAAATACTGTTTGCTGAGTATCTGGGGAGTGAGATGTAGGAACTCCCTCTACCTTCACATTTGGGGAACTGTTCAGTTATAAGGAAGAAAGAGGTATGGGTGCAACGGGGAAAGAACGTGTGAGAAACGGCCATAAAACTCAAGCCAGACACTTTATGTTCCCACTGCTGCTGGAGACTGGAAAAATCACAAATCAAGATAAACTCGTTGCTTTTGTAGGTCCCTTAGAGTATCAGCGGAATTTCCTTCCTGTTTCATGGGCCTTTTATCTTTTTGGTGGGGCTAGAGTCTCAGCTTAGGCCAGCAAATGCTTAGTGAGTGCCACCGAGTCTCTGCTCTGTAAGAGTTCTCACTCTGGTCGATTAGCAGACGCTTACTTAGCTCTCTCTGATGGTTTCAACCAGTTGCCACCCATGCCTCACTAAAGGCAACAGCCACCTGTAGAAGTTCTCACGGCCCTGGACCACGTCACAGAGAGAAAGCCCCTGAGTATAAGCGTGAAGTTGTACATTATCATTTTCTGTGTTCACTGCACGAATGCTAGCATCTGTAAAAAAGAAAAACAAAAACAGCAAGGGATGCGTTCTCCATTGTCTTGAATGAGCCATACTAGGAACAGGATCAAGAGAGTAGAATTTGGCCAGGAACCCGGCCATCATGACAGTTGTGTGTCAAGCAAGAAGTTACTGATTCCCTAGTCCAGAGAACTCACATTGAAGAAGTTCATAGGATCTAAAACGTTGTGCAGGAGTGGTCAGGATGAAGGGAACGCCACAGGGGGCTTTAGTGATGTAGCTTGATGAGAGATATGGTCTCTCTCAGATGACATGGCTCTGCTTCCCCCAAGGTCCCAGACACAGGGCACTTGACCACGGTCTAAGTCTCAGGTTTTTCAACAATCTTCAGGATTACTCTCTACCGATAGCTTGGCGACATCGACATCATGAAGACTAGTCACTTGCATTGGATCTTGTCATTCTTCCTGCAATGCCCACTGTCAAGAACCTTTCTGTTTGCCTCTGCAGCCTAGTTACAGTTTTAAGTCGGGTATGAAGGGTTGTTCATAAGTGGGTGTTCATAACTCACGTACTTCATGATGCATGGAATCTGCAAACTGGGATATTTAGAGCATCTGTCTCACATACATTAACACAATCTGTGCTTTTATTTTGGTTTATAAATCAATTCAAAAATTAATTTATATTTAGGAAGCAAATGAATAACTTAAAAATATTATATGTTATATTATGCATTTATTAAATCATGAACCCTATTGGGGATCTTGCATGTTTTCCTAATTTTTATTATTGCCCATCATTACAAACAAATGAGATTTTATAGGGTGCTTATTGTTGCCTTGCATAATTTTTCATGGTAGTATTTCTTTTCCCTGTCCCATGTCCTCAAAATGCTCATTAATAATATCTAACAATGATTTCTGAACCTGTTTCTCATTTCCCTGTCTTTAATTCAGAGCTTGTGGTGATTGAAGAATTTTTTTAAATCTTCCAGTTTGATATTTTTTACCAGTTTCCATGTATTTGATTTTCTTCCATCCTGGGTTTCTGGGTTACTGGAAAACTTATAAAATTATACACACATATTTTATGCATAATTTTTTAAAAAACGTATTGCCATTCTATAATTTTTATATGTAGGTTATATATTATATACATACTTGTTTTAATTTTTATATATGATGTGTGCAATGCATCATATTTATTTATTTTTTTTAAGCCCAAAGTTCTTGAGCTGATGACAGATTTTTTTTTTTTTACCCTGTTCTTAACCTTCATGCAGGCCCAGACCCACAAATGATACCACTCTTTGCATTCTAATGCTTGCAAACACAGAACGAGAAGATTTTGCTCAGGTGACTGTCACTTGCCTATGTTCAGTTCTGAATACTGGGCACTTCAGGGCCCCTTGAGCTCCAGAGGAGCTGCTGGTATTGCCTACCTTGTTCCTCTGCACTGCTCTCTTCTTTAGCTTGTCATGTGATTACAGTTTGATTTTTTATTCCCGATTCAGGTCCCAAGATCCTCAGCTGTATGATATCAAAACCCCTATTTGCCCAAGTCTTCCTTCTTTAGCAGCAAGATTCGCAGGCCATGTGTCCTGCCTCTGTAGCCATTGGTGTGTGAGTTGCTGACCCTTCTCTAGATGTTTGTACTACTATCCAGTTCTTTGTATTTCTTATATCTCCCTATTATGTAATTTCATGCTTAAAGTCCTTCATCAATGTTGCCTCCATCATCATTAGTATAAATAATTCTAAAATGTCTCTTACAACCACACATTTGCTACTCCTACTCTTCTCCAAGTTTCCATACCTCAACCATTAGCAAAGAACATTCCTGGGCCTTTAAAATCACCTCTTGCAGTGTGAGGCTCTTCTATTTTTAAAATTTAGTTTTTTATTTTATTAATATCATATTCATGTGTCAAATAGGATTCAAATGACGTATTTTATGTTGTGCGCATCTTACCATAGTCACCTAATTTTCCCATTCAAGGAGCCAAGTTAAAAATACGAGAGAAACTTGATATGGTCAAGTTTAAATAACTGTCCTCCTACTTACAAAGCACATGGCGTGTGTTTTCCGAAGAGGACCATTGTGTTCTGCCTCTGTGTAAGTTTGCACATCTATGTTTTTGAGAATAATACTTGCTGCTGGTCTTTCATGGTGTCTAGAAAAAGGCTGACAGGATGAGTCCTACAAGGCTGCGTTTAGAGATACAGACAAACTGCAGAGATGCTGAAGTCTTCAAAGCACAGGACTGAAAAGTGTGTAGGTAGCAGAGGCAGAGGAAAGGTACACCTCCAACAAGCACAACGATGGATTAGAACCCAGACAGGAGATCACATCCCTGTAGTAATTTGTCACTTAGAATGTGCCACCTAATTTTGCATACAAAGGGGACAAAAGATGAAAAAAATGACCTTCATATCTTCTGGTGTCCCCTAGCAATGATTATCAAGTGTTAGTTGATATGGAATGTCCTTCTGTATATGTGTTGCTTTTATTGGCTAATGAATGAAACTGTTTTTGGCCAATGGATTTGCAGAGTAAAGCCAGGCAAGAAATCCAAACAGAGATATCTAGAGAAAGATGGCAGAGTCAGAGATGCCATGTAGCTGCCGAAGGCCACCAGCTCATGGTGATACATAGATTAATATAAATAGACTAATTTAAAATGTAAGAGCTAGCTAGAAATATGCCTGAGCTATTGGCCAAACAGTATATAAAACAATATAATAAAGATTTTGTATGATTCTTCGTGTCTGGGTGCCTGGGAAATGAAAGCACAGTCTCCATTTATAGCTAGTTCCATAGATAGGAATCTTATTTGACTGACTAGAAAAGTCCAGGTTTAGATCTACCCACAAGAATATCAAAACAAGAAAACAATTTTTATAAGAAATACTTACGTCCTGTTTTGGTTTGGTTTATCTTGAACTTGAGGAATCACAATTGAAAAAAAAAACAAACAAAACACGTTCACTAGATTGGCCTATACACAAGCCTGGGGTCATTTTATTTATTAATGATTAAAACAAGAGAACCCAGCACACTGTAGATGGAACCAACTCTGGTCAGGTATCCTGAGTTGTAGAAGAAAGCAGGCTGAGCATGCAACAAGGGACAATCCTGTAAGCAGCACTCCTCCACGGCTTCTGCTTGAGTTCCTGCCTCAAGTTCCTGCCCTGACTCCCCTCAATGACAGAGTGTGACTTATAAAAATACAAGTTTTTTTTCCCAAGTTGCTTTGGATTGAGATGTTTTATCACAGTAATATAAGTAAAACTAAGACAGATGATTTGACAAAGATTGGCAGTGAAAGAAAGAAAATTTTAGGAACTGTGTTCAAATTCTTCCAGAATGAACTGGCTCAAAATTGAGCAGATAGATATATAGAGTAAGTCAGCAAGTATACTGTAAGCAAAGACAAAGAGTTGGCTTGGCCTTTCTGGAAAGAGATGGCTGTGAAGTGTGTGTCAAAGATGAAACATCTTTCTTTTGTCTATGGAAAGAACATCCAACTTAAATTCATGGTGAGAGTGAGATATGAAGAGGAACTACACAATTACGACTTTTATATGGAACAAAGCAGTCTTTAAATACCTCTGCACACACCTATCCTCAGAAATTCTGTTTTCTGCTGTAGGCGATAACACCAACATTCCTGTATAGTTCCTGACAAGGTGACCTCTTCCTCATTTCATTGATTAGCTTTCTTTGATTGTCACTTATCAAACAACATGACAAAGTATGCTCTAAACATGTGGTAGAATCACTGAAATAAAATATAATTCCTAAGGCTGTTTCTTTGTATATTTCTTCATTTGTCAGAAAAAAAAATGGTCCAAATCTATCAACAAAATAGAAAGTAAGTCCACTTTTCAAGCTTGGTAATTAACAATGATGCAATATTTGGTAACTGATTAAAGATGTAATAACCTTTTTTTCCTAATCAGCCACAATAAAGTCATCTCTTCAGTGAAGGATGAAGATAATTGAGCTTATTTCTTTTTCAAACAGCCATCAACAACAATCAGTGACTACAGTTCCTGATAATGTCAAAAGAAGGTGACTCTCTTTAAAAAAAAGTTGAAACTATTGAGAAATGCATTTATCATCTAGGACCTTTGTACGTATCTGGTGTCATATTAACAATAGATTCATGCTCTTTCCACAGGCTCTTCTCAATGTGAAAATGGAGAGCTCCCTGCCTTGTTCTTAAGAACAGGAGCTTTTCCTCTCTCCATCTCTTTCACTTGTTAAAAATTTCAAAGTTCTATCAAGCACCTAATCCTTTTAGAGGATAAATATTAGACACGATTTGACTGCCAGAACACAAAATGAAATATATGACTAGCAATAATATTGCTAGTACGATAGTTATCTGTATGGGGCTTGCCTGGGATACACGGTGCCTAGATTTCAATATCATTTTCAGGATACACCTGTGAAAGTGATGCTTGGTGAGAGTGACATATTGGTTCATCATCAACTCCAGTGTGGAAGACTTCCATCAATCTCAGCCATTAGAGGCATGAATAGAATGGAAGGCTGAGTCAGAGCATTGTGTCTCTACCTGACTTTATTTGAGTGGGAGCATCAAGACTGCTGTCTCCAACTTTAGACTTGAACTAGAATCTGTGTCAGTAGCTGATCTAGATTTCCAGTCTGCTATTAGGCATGTTTGGACATCTTAGCGTTCTTAATCATGAGAATCTTAGAGCAAATCTCCGAAGAGCCCAGACCACTACAATAGAAAAATTAAAGCACATATATTATAGAGTCACTGAAACTAAAGTCTCAACACTTTGATAAAGACACAAGAACAGACTGTCCTGATGTGGGATTCCCCTTTCAATGCTGTGAATACCGTAGTTGAATAAAGAAACTGCCTTGCCCTGTTGATAGGTAGGCGGGAAAAACTAAACTGAATGCTGGGAGAAAGGAGGCAGAGTCAAGGAGAAGCCATGTAGCCCCACCAGAGACAAATGCCAGAACTTTACCCAGTAAGCCACTGCCATGTGGCAATACCCAGATTAATGGAGATGGGTTAAATTAATTTGTAAGAGTAAGCCAATAAGAAGCTAGAGCTAAGAGGCCAAGCAGTGATTTAAATAATATAGTTTCTGTGTGATTATTTCAGGTCTGAGCTGCCAGGAAATGAACAAGCAGCCTCCAGGTTTGAGCTACTGAGCAGCCAGAATGACCAAGTGGCTACCTTCCAATACTTTCCATTACAGACTAATATAAAGTATAATAATCTCTATACTCAGCTGTTACCTTCAGTCTTCAAAATGAGAGATTTGTATGCAAAGGATGCAGACTAGAAACAGTTTTAAGATGACTATATGAACTGGGTACTGTTGGGTTTTCTTCCTCACACCTCTACACATACATACTTTAATATATTTATATAAATATATGCCATCATGTTTTCATGAAAGACAACTCACAGTCATGAGAGTGAAGTTATGTCATAAGTTAATACACGGAGAGGAGCAAACACATCATTATCTCTTTATCTGTGGGGTTATGTCTACTTATCATGATTCATGATCAAACATGATGACTTGTATGAACATAAGAATTTTTTTCAGAAGCGAGTATATGACAGACAATTATGTTGTGATTGGTCCCAGGACATAGGGCTGAGAGGTCATGTAAAGCCTTGCATGCATGCATTTGGCCTAATTAACTAAAAAGGAGAGGAACCTTGGAAATTGTGATGAGTCCATGACTTTTTTTCCTTTGAAAAAAATTATTAACTTTGTCCTTGAGTTCCAGTCAACATCGTCTCTTCAGCTCCTTAGAAGCAAGGGGATTAGAGGCAAGCACTGTAGATAGGTTCACATTAGATACAGGTGACAATGGGCAATAGACATTCACTTATGAATAAAACACACACCGTGGTCAAGTTCCTTTTACTGAGTTTGTTTATTTATTTATTTATTACATAATATTGTGATCCTCTTGTTATGAAGTGCTTATGAGGCAGATGAGCTTCTAGACTCCTGGAGAGAGTGAAGCTGAATTCAGAGTACCCCTAAAGTGATGGGTCTATGTGAAATGTTGGAAGTGGGAACAGTGCTACTTTGGTTAAAACAAGGAGATTATGAAAGTAAAATAGAATTAAAATGTCTGCTTAAATGTGTGTTTATTTATCAAAGTTAAACCAACTTCATCACTTATTTCTTTAAAGAAATTGTGTTGGTGATCAAAAAAAAGATAGTTTGCCACAGTATCCCTACTGTGCAAAGTCACAAGTATGTTTTTAAACTGATTAAAAAATCCACTTAGAAGATCAACAAATAAAGAAATGCAGTTCTGGTAATAACTCCTTGTCATTGGCTCAATTGTTCACTCTTCATTACTGTTTGTATACTGATTTTTCAGGCTGTGGATCGGGTTTGCACAGCTCAGGGGAAGGGTTTGACTTAGCAGTGTACACCTTGAGGGGAGATACATTCTGTGCATGAGTTAAAGATGGCACATGAATTACCTCTCCCTCTGTCACCCACCTATAAAAAGGGAATAAAGTGTAATGGAGCCAGGGTGAGGGCGGGAGGGGGAAGGGCCAGGGTGCGAAAGGCAGCAGGTTTGGGGAGAGGATATCGCCCATGAGATGGTTATTAGCGTTCACTGCTCACAGACACACTCTCTTCCTGAGACACGGGTGGACCTTAACGACATCTTCCCTGACACGAGCGTCATCTATCATCTTCCACTATCATCTTCCAGGAGGGAAACTCCCTTAAATTATTAGCTTAAAAAATGAAACCCGAACACATGTGGAAGCTTAGTTGCCTATTAGAAACACCTTGTCAGGGTGAGAACTTGTTAATATCATTGATGAGGTCTTCTGGCTCCTTAAGCCTGTTTTCCTCAGTGGTTCCTCCATATGCATTCTCTTCATTACTCATTTGAGTTAATTAGTATTAAGAAGGATTGACAAGCTCATCCATTTGAAGCAAATCTGAAGCTCAGTTGTTTGCTACATTTTTGATTATTTTGTTTTTCGAGACAGTCCTAGCTGTCCTGGAACTAGTTCTTGTATGCCAGACTGGCCTCAAACTTACAAAGATCTGCCTGCCTCTGCCACCCAAATGCTGGTATTAAAGGCGTGTGCTGCCACCACCCAGGCTGCTTGTTAAATTTTTAATTCAATGGACACTTCTAGGTGCAGAAATTCATGTGCAGTTACACGATTTGCTCAATGTATGGTGAGAATTTGCTTTACTCTAACCATTGTGTTAAGAGTTGAGGGTACAAAGAGATATAAACCAAGTACTGACCTCAGAAACCTTGACCAAGACTACGGGCTACAGCTTAAGCCAGTATTAAGGCAGACATCGGAGGTGGGAAGGGGAGGCTTAGGGAAGTTGTGGGAAGGCATTTGTAGGGACTATTTGACTGGAAAGGCCTCTAGGAAGCTAGGCCGTGAGTGCTGTGCTTATGGGAAGTCAGTTCAAACTCGGCTTCAGCAAATCAGTGCTATGTAGGAACTCTAAGCAGTTGGAGCAGGCACTTGGAGGTTTTAAGAAAGTGGTAAACCTATACCTTGTGAAGGACTACAAACTATTTCAAGCTGACTCAACTTGTTTCCATTAGATATGTCCTGTCCCCGATGATCTAGAACTTGTTGATAGCTTCACTTTAATCCCATTACATTACTGCCAGCTGTAACTAGGAACTTTATCAAGTCAGAACAAAATAGACTTATTCCTCATCAACAGTAGCTTTGTAAAAATGATTCTTAGTCATACTTGAGAGGAAAGGTTATCTATCGTATGTTAGTCAGAATAGAGCGAGGCAAGATGCAGTAAGAGCAGAGCCAATAACTTCAGTGCTACAGCCTTTTCCGTACATCCATTACATGTTCATTTTTCATCTGTGATGCACTTCAAACTCTTTCCTTTGGCATCTGGACAGTGCATTAGTCTCTCTCTGGGACACTGCTGGCCATAAGGACTAGAAAAGACCAGGACCGCACAATTCTGACAACATCCGCTTTGAACTGACTTTAATGCTAAAGCCTATTTCATTAGGCAAAGCAATCCATTTGGCCATGGGTTGGAGAAGTGCGATTCTTAACCCTAGAGATGAGAAGAAACAGTCTTTCACGACTAACAACGTTTCTGAAAATGAATTTTCATCTGCTTTAGTGTCTTAGGAAGAAGACCATTTGTGGGCAGTGGCTACCTCACTATCTGAAAAAAAAAAAGCATTTAGTGGCCTGAAAATGTGTATTCTTTATTTAAGTAAGCCACTAGTTGTGGTCTTTTAGGGAAAAAAATAAGAGCAAAGAAGTCAGTTTGGTTTTAGGAAGAAACCATGGAAGTCTCCAAAATGGGACAGCAATTAGTATAAAGACAGAGGCTAAATGTACCACTTAGTAAGAGGAACATCTTTAATTTGATTAAAGTTAGGAAAATGATCCAAAAGAATATTCTTCACATGGAATTTTATAATAACTCCACAGCCTAAATTACAGGTCAACAAGCTAAACTCTTGCAGCAAAATCCAGGCCGTTTTTGTTAATGATGTTTTTGGGATGCAGCCAGGACCACAAACTTATAGACTACTCACAGCTACTTTCATACCACAATGGCACAGTGAATCACTGCAATAGCATTGTCTACGAAGTGTTGATTATCTGAACTTTAGGGGAAATGTTTGTTAGCCCATCCTGGAGGTTAAATCACATTATGATTATTTGAGTCAACCAATCTATTCATTCATTAAAGAAATATGTTTATAGTTGGCATTATGTGTCTAATTCTGTTCATACTGCTGACGTACAAAAAGAGAGAAATGGAGTCGTTCCCTAATGCAAATTATAGCCTAGTGGAGAAAACAGACATTAAACAAATTATCCTTTAAATAAATCTAAAATTTTATACTAAGTAATGTGAGGCAAAGAGTAAGGGCTGACAACTACACAGAATGAAGAAAATTAATTTAGATTGTGAGAAAAGCTTGCATCTCCTTTGAATGTGTGTTTCTACAGCTGAGATTTAAAAATCTGAGCAAATTAAATGAGACCAGCATATGTAACATTCCTGAGGGAAATAAAGGATGGATGTTATTTCCCAGGGAATAAAATACATTCAGGGACCCTACTATGGCATGTTATGGTATGCAGGATGAGGAGCACTCAGATAAAGAAAACTGAGTAGGGGTAGCACATGATTCAGAGACAATATAAATGAGACGTGTTGATAGAGAAGAAAGAGGTGAGAGAAAGGGCCTCTGTATTTTCAACTTGCCCATTTGATAAAGGACCCATGGCCGAAGAACATGGAAAGAACTGAGTTTATAAAACGAGTTTGTGCAAAGGCTTCCATTCATTTAAGGACATTGCAACTATCTTACGATATGTTTCAAGGTTTAGATCTCAGAGTGGGAATTATACTTCATTTAACAGACACAGGTGATATTTATATTCAAAGAAAACAAACAGTATAAAACAACGGATCTTTGGGTAGAGATGGAGGATCTTCGGACACTTAACAGGTGCCTTGAAGGAGACAAGAGAGTCCATGAGAAACCAGAATGCTGTTTTACCCAGGGAAGAGAGTATTTGGAGAGGGAAGTTGCTTCTAGATGTGTCATTAGGGCATTAATCAAGAGAACCATTGGAATGAATAAAATGAGTCTCTCTAGATCTATGCTCTGATGGCAAATGACAACAGTGGTCACCAGTAGGCTTCAGTGGTACCTCCTAGAGTTAGTCTCTGCAGAGGGAACCAGTTATATTGAACAGTGACAGTGTTCTCTGTGGAGTATACTAAACCCCCTTGTTTGAATCCAGCCCTGAAGTATGTCCCTGGGAATATTTACAGAATATTTTGTTTGTTTGTAGAGAGTCAAGGTAAACTAGAGGTTCATGGGAAGAGACTC